TAATTTTATCTTTCTTATGCAAAAGGAATGGTGAATGGTTTGCTATCCTATCTCTTCTTTAGGTTTCTATCATCTCAGCAGACCAAATTTCATTTTTAATTTCCTCTCCCTTTCTCTTTTCTTCATATTTTCTTTAAGACTATGAATCATTTCCGAAAATAATTAAATAAAAAATTCTCATTTTTAACTTGCCCGTTAAAAAAAAAACAAAACAAACGAAAAAGAGGCCGATTCACTTTTAAAACAAAGTCAAATCAGTAAAGCCTAGAGTAAAATCGTAAGTGCGTCGGCCTAAAAGCGTTTAAAACTCGTTAAAAGAATGACCGAATCAATCTCAAAAAGTAGTTTTAAAAGCCTCAAAATATAATTTAAACCTTCACGAATAAAGCTTCAGAATGTGGCGAATAAAACTTTAAAATTTAACCCAAACATACCACTAGAAAGTGCTCCAAGTACGGTTCACCCAATCAATGAACCGATCTTCACAGCAAAGGTGAAAATTCACCCCATTAAGATTTGCGGCCAGGGACAATGAAGAAGAAAATCAATCACAAACCAAACATTTTCAATCATAAAAGAACTAAAGGAGAAGACCCACATCTAGGGGAAATGAGAAGAAAGCTAAATCCAAGCCAAAAATAACACAAGCAGTAGCAATTAGGCTCACGGCCTAGGGCAGAGAAGAGGAAAACAAGCCCCATGCATGGTCACGGATAGTGAAAGAAACCCCCCATGAGTATTACCATTACATTGCTTTTTGATATACATAAGAGAGTGAATGGACAAGCTTTCATAAATTATCCAAACCAAGTCCAGATTCATCAAATAAGACATAATAAATTTGCCCAATTCATTTTGAACACCTCACTATATAGGTAGATAGTGAATACATTTTGGGATGACAAACTTGATTACTAAAAACACATCTTAGGAAGAGCATTAAAGAGGAAGCCCCCACCCAAACCATGTCCAACAAAAGTGTCAAACCGAGCTCATCACAAGGGGCAAACCAAGCCCAAGAAAATGATACAAGCTTAGTCCAAACAAGAGTGAAACCAAGCCCAACAAATGGGTTAAAATAGTGTAAAAAATTTCAGCTAAATTCAACCTAGAAGAAGCTAAGACCGAGCCCTCCAAATAAGCTAATAAACAGAGAAATTTTTTCAATAAAGATCCAACTTTAAAGAGCCAAACCGAGCTTACTAACATGAGAAAAATAAAGTAAAATTTCCAGCATTTTTCATTTCCAAAGGACTAAAACCGCACCCAACAAATGGGTCAAGACAAAACAAAATTTCCAGCATTTTCCCTCTCCAAAGAGATCAAAATCGTACCCAACAAGAGGGAAAAAATAGGGATTAGCATTTCCAGCATGAATCTATTCCAAAAAGATCCAAATCGTACCCAACAAGATGGGAAAAATATGGCCATCAAATCCAAATCCGTTAGACCCTTATATTCCCAGGTATTAGAACTAATATATGTTCCAAACTGCAGCAAGTAACATGAACAAATAAGCATAAACAAGTTCCTAATGCCAACTTGTTATTTAGCATTGAAAGTAATTCCAACCTCCATTTGAAAAAAATATGTATACGAAAAGCTTTAACATTGCATTTTTTTTTTAGCATGCATTCCATAGAATAAAAACTAAAACTTTTCAAAAAGAAACCTCATTCATCATATATTTTGAGCAGAGAAAGATAAGAAGGCAGCCAATATATGCTTCATTTCTCACTAAACCTAGCAAGAATTCATGCTCAAATCTCGAAACAGGCCTATATTTTTACTTCCACATGCTATGCTACCATTTGTGAATATGAAGTGATTAAAAGAGCAAACATCAAAGCCAAGAAATTAATTGAATGAGGGCAAAGTAACAAGCTTTATCAAACCTCTCCATACCAAGGCTAGCCGAAACATCTCCCACTTTTCTTCTCTTTTTTTATCTTTTTTTTTTAAGAAACAAAATAAACCAGCTTAATGTCCCAATCCAAGCAACGCATCATATTTTAACATGCATAAAACCATGCCTTAAAGTTAGGAAACAGGAGAATAGCACACCCGCGCACATGCACCTCATATAGATGCAAACCCCCAAATTCACCAAGTGGAATACATTAAGCCCAAAGAAGCTTTCACATGCTTTAAAAGAGCAAAGAAGTATTTTTAGATGTCATCGAAAACGTTGCAAATCAGAGGAAGGAAGATAAATACCTCTTAATGCCGATTTAAAGCAAAAAAAAAAAGTGAGACAGTTCCAATAAAATGCCTCCCACAGAAATCCTCCTCCTAAAAGCTTCAAGAAAGTAGCAACCAACAAATCCTTTAAGCTCTCAGCACATAAAAAGCTAGCCAAGCAGAAATTTCGACAAGGCCTTTCTCCTAAAGCTTCGAGAAACAACCACCAACGAATGATCCACACTCCCAGCGCACGAAAACGTAGTTTAGAAAGGATTTTGGTAGAATTTTCTTTCCGTTTTAGCCGATGAAGGGGGAAAAGGGAAAGAAACGGCGGAATAAAGGAGAGGAGCGGCTGTTGCCTCGAGTAGAAGGACCGTTGGCCAGCACACCTCTCCTAATTGGAGAGCCGAACGGTTGCTGTGCCACGTAGAGAAGGGGAAGCGACGGGAAGCAGACGACCGCATGGATCCGCGGTGGAGCTAGGGCACGGACGCGAGAGGGAGAATCAAGCATGAGCTCTGTTCGAACCCGTGAGTGGGTCGAACAGAGGGAGGGAGTGTGCGAGTGAAACACATAAATAAGACTTAGGTTTTAATTTTAATTATAAATTAAGTATAAAGTTATAAGAAATATTTAATTTTTTTTATTCGTGCGTCGTGACATATCGAATATGGATGTCCTTTCTAGGTATTTTTGACATTCCGGACGCGTTGGCGCGGTCTGTTTCACCGTCGGAGGTCGTTTTGACGAATTCATCGATTTGGGTGCAAATTTTCTCGTGTCAGAAATATGACAATATGAGTGTTCGTTCCTACTAAAATTGGTGTCCCGGACGCGTTGGCGCGGTTCAATTTGTCATTGGAGGTCGTCCGGAGAAGTTCGCATTTTCACCTATCCTTTAGGCTCAATTGAAGTCCTATCTCAATTGAAATCCTATATCTTGTGCAATTTAGTGAATTTTGTGCATTTTGTGTGTGTATGACAGTAAAGTCGTGAGGAGGTTTTCCTAGGGCTTAAGATCCTATTGTGAACTTCTCCCTGAGTCTCCACATAATAGTCCCTAACCGCTCGTCCATAAGATGATGGTTTTGAGACCATAGATGCTATACATCACCGGAAAATAAGAAATGACTGGAATTTCTAAAAAGGGTGGGTCCCAATTCTAGTTTTCTAAGATAGTCAATAGGAACTCTTAGAACTAGATCCTGGGATCCTAAGAAAAGGTAATGACCTAAAAATGTGGTCAACAACCATGTTCGCTTGATCAGGTTTTTAACGATTATCTCCTAGACGACATGGTTAGGTTTTTGGTGTGGTTAGGTGGAAAGTATTTAAGGGTGATGTAGGGCAAGAAAGAAAAAAATTAATTGGAGACACAGTTGGGTATTAGTGAATGCTAGAAACCCTATAATAAGACTAGGTGTAGGCTAGTTCTGATACCAAATGAGACCGGAGTTAATCCAAACAACAACAGGAAAGCCAGTATTATTGCTGAATTCAAATAAAAAATTACAACTGACTCGTGAAAAATTGAAATTGCAGCAATTGACAACACAAACCCAAGTTAGGGCTAGATCTGGGGGTGTTGGTAGTGGCGATTGGCTAAGATTTGGGCAGCAACAAAAGGAGAATGCGGTGGGTTGCGGCGGTGATATAGGATGGCTGGACAGCGGTAGCGCGGCAAGACGGCGGAGTTGTGTGGCTGCGGCAGTGAATCCAATGATGCAGGACGGCTGAGTAGGCTGTAGTAAGGTGCTGGAATGGCTGGGCAGCGGTAGACGGCACGGCAAGGGGGGTTTACGGGGCTGCAACAGCAAGGTAGGAGGCTTAGAGGAGGTGGAGGAGGATGCTGGGATGGCCGGTACAGCGATTGCAGCAATAGGGGGGGGAGCTGGAATCGCAAAATGGCAGCGAGATGGCCGTCCTCGGGATGTCGGCAGCGAGGAGAAGGGTTGATGGCAAGGGACAGCAGATTGGGAGGGGAGGAGAGGTGGTAAAAACTGCAGGAAAACAGTAAAGTGGTTGTTTTCTGGTGGCTGCAGAAAATACTGTGGCAGTGGCTGTGGAAGGAGGGTTGCGGAGGAGTCTGAAGGTCGAGGATAGTCACAACCTCAAACAAGATACAGCCGGAGCATCATTTATTGTTGGATACAACCCTAGAAGGGAATAACTGGACGCCAACAACTGTCCTGACATAAAAACTACTAATCCAAACTCTAATACACACATATATAGGAAATGACTAAAAAGAATGAGGGATAATAGGTAAGAAATCATAAAAGAAAGAAAAAGGTGGCTTGTGGCTCCTCTTCCGTCTCCCGTGCTTACGGGAGTCGCGGCATCCCATGTCCGAAACGGAATCTCCCCCTTCAGCTATCTTATACTTGTAATTATATGCAGTAAATTCTTGGTCTGTGCAATCTGATAAAATGAACTCTAATGATGTCAAGGGATGGGAAATTAATCTTATTTATTAAGCTGAATGATCCATGCTGCAAATTTGTGAACATTTAAATTTTCTAAAATATAGCACCATTTATCTAGTGCTACAATAATGGCTCATATGACAATGAAATGGCTTCACAGCTTGTCGAAGAAATGCTTTTCTGCGTGATATAACCTACGTATCTGACCATACTTCTGGTCAGAATGAATGCAGTTTTCTTGTGCTAATCATTTGATATTCCCTCTTCACTTTTTTAAAGCTTATTTGATTAATCTAGCCTGTTTTAAACCGCTTTAGGTGAGTGTTTTTCTTGTTAAAATCATAGGATGAAATTTTATTGGCTTAGTGTCCTGTTTTGATTCCTTTGCAGGTAGGTTTGTTATATGACGAGATTTCCTTACAAAGTGTTTTGGATATGACTGCTGACTGGACTGAAGAAGAAAGGCAGACTTTAAGGAATAAGGTGAATATCTTGGTACCACTTATCAGCTTCACGTGGTCATCTTTTGGCATATCTCTGTCATTCATTTATATTTAAGCTCATGAACTTCTATTTCAAAAGAGAAAATCTTTGTCTCTTTTTTATTTTAATTTTTTATATTAGGTTGGTTAAATTCACGCATAACTTGTTGGCTACACATGTTAGTTAACCCATGATTATATTTTAACAGGTTCCAGTACTTGGTTTGAAGACACCATTCCGGAGCGGGCTTCTAAGACATGTGGCAGAAGATGTTTTGGCACTAGCTAAGGTTTTTTTCTTTTTGGAAAATGTACATGCATGCCACTCAATTCTTATGTATTTACATATCTAACACCTATACTTCAATTTTACATTTATACCTCCTTACCTATGCATAAAATGGTATATTTCACTTTTTAAAAATTAAAATAGTGGTATTTATGATGTGATATGAAAGATTTGAGTGGTATAGATAAATGTAAAGTTTAAGGTTTAGGCCCTAGATGAGTAAATACATAGGAATTGGGTGATATGTATGTAAATGCCCCTTTCTTGTTTTGCCTTGGTATCAGTTATGTGAATGTATGAAGTTGAGGCATAGTTTCACTTATCGTACATCTTTGACGCAGGATGGCTTGGAAAGAAGGCTTTGCAAGGAAGCTGGCTTTTTAAAAGAAGTCGCGGAGGTAGTTGCAACAGGTACTTATCACTAAGTTTTCCCATGCCATTCTATGAGATGAAGCTATGCACATGTTTATTGTCTCGCCTTAATGGTTGATGTTATAATATCTGATAAATTGAGTAAAGTGTCAAAGTAGTACCCCGACTATTTGTATGGAGTCATTTTAATCCCAGAGTTTATAAAACTGCTAAATTAGTCCTTTTAGTGGGGGTTAAAATAGTCATCATTAGGTACTATTTCAATCCATATTCAAAGAGTTTGGGGACTAAAATGACACTTCTATAAACTCTGAGACTAAAATGGCCCTCAGCAAAAGTCAGGGGATCATTATGACACTTTTCTCCCGATAAGTTATGGTTTTTCCTGCCAAAAATTCTTATTTCACCCAAGATGCATGATGAGAATAGAACTACAATAGAAGTGTCTTATGTTTTTAAGGATGCGGTATTTCTAAACTCAAATTTTGCCTGTGCTTATTTTGTTTGATATTTTGTTTTATCCTTATTCATATTCTAAAGGTTTTTATTTACTGTATTTTCTTCTAAATGATTACCACTCCGTATAACTCTGCATCACTGCTACATTGTTGAATGTGTTACCTTTTTCCTTTCAAACTAACTCAAACCCTTATTTCATGCTTGGTGCAATTGTTGCCTTACAATTTTTGCGACGTACAAATTTTGGAATTTAAATGCATTTGTCCTACCATTCACAATTCCTAACTTTCCAGGTTCAAAATGATCTAATTGTATATCCTATCATTGGTGTTTTAATAGATCAAAAGAGGAGAGAAGGGGTATTATGACACTCAAATTCAATCTGTTGAAACCCGTAATTAAGGGAAAGGAATCCTACTACCTTGATAGGAACCGACCGGATCTGCTCATTTGGATGTAGTTGCCGGGATCCAATTAGAGAATGCATTTGATTGAATTAGGGCTATAAATGAGTCAAGTCGAGTCGAGCTTGAGCCACACTAAACTCGAGCTCAACTCGCGAGCTTGAGCCACACTAAACTTGAGCTCGACTCGTGATATATATGGTTGGCTGAAGCTTGAGCTCGAACTCGGCTTGCGCTTGTTATGTCCCGCTCAAAAACTTGATTTTGATAAAAGTTTATTAAAAAGATATGAAATAATAAAAATTTTATTTATTATACGAAAATTAACATTAATTAATGAACTAATTAATGTAATTGAGCTGTCTTGATGAGCACTTAAGCTGAGTTAGATTACGCTCGAGCGCGAGCTCTAGCTCGCTGATCGATAGGCTCAACTCGTGAACTCGTTGACTTGTCGATTTCAAGTTAACTCGACTCACATCCCTAGACTCAATCTAGTAGACCATTCATCGCGTGCTTGTGTGAAAATTTGAAGTGAAAAAGTTTCAGTTAACACATTCAACAAGAAACAATGCAAGGAAAGTTTAACAAACTTAAAATTTTTTAATACAAAACTTTTAATTTGGAAGTTATGAGGCCAACATATACTATCTGCTCCAAGGAATTACATAAGTTACGCTAACATAAAATATACTTGTTATTATAATGCACCAACACTAGATTTTTTGAGTTCATTCAAATTTATGCGGACGGCATGGCTAGTTAGGTATCTGTACTGATACACGTAGCTAGATTTGGTTTGAAGTTCTCTCCTTACTTCCATCTTTTAAGCTGACCTATCATTAGACAAGTATAGTGACTGGAAATACTCAAAGGTAGTTATCTTTTAACACATTAGTGGTACTCAATAAAATAGTTTAATATGCATATGGAAGCTGTTGAGAAAATTAGGGCGAAGAAAAACAATAATCGACACAAATCCAGAAGTACACAGAGATTTAACGAGGTTCGACAAAGATGCCTACGTCCTCGGGAGCAGAGCGACGAGTTTCTTTTCAATATTCAGAAAAGAGGTTACAGAATAGAGGTTACAGAATAGAGGGATACCTCCTGGGGTTACTAACAGACCTATTTATAACCCCAGGAGTAAACTTAGGCACAATATGTAATTACAACATTACCCCTGTACCAAACCGCAGGGCTTAGCCCCCGCACCCTAACCCACGTAACTTCCCAATTTGGACAGATTCTTCCGCTCCACTCCGCTCCGCTTCGATCCAGTGTCTGTCCCGATATGGTTTATGAGCCATACCATAACAAATCTCCACCTTGACGAATATCCAGCCCCTTAGGAGAAAAAATACCTGGGAGTTACACCTGCACCACTGTGGGTTGGGCCACCATGCTTCTCTAGCAACTGCAAACATTCAACAAGTCCAAGCAATGCAAGAACTTGTTGATAGTAACTGGCTTGGTCAACATATCAGCTGCATTCTCATCAGTATGAACCTTCTGCAACAGTATCTCCTCAGAAGCAATCAACTCTCTGATCTTGTGATACCTGACATCAATGTGCTTGGTTCTCGCATGGTACACCTGGTTCTTAGCCAGACAAATAGCACTCTGACTGTCACAATGCAACTGAACTCCACCTTGCTCAA